GTATTACAATAATCTTCTTGGCTTACTCAAACTTTAAATACTAATAAGTTCTTTCAAATTGCTCATTCGTACTTACATGTAGAAAGTTTGACTGTTCTAGGTTATATCCAAGTGCTGTACAGTCTGCCAGTAAGACTGTCTTGGGCATGAGGATATGCCAAATTACTTCAATTTTGTGGTTAAAAATTAGGTTAAATGATCTCCTTTTCAAATTTTCTTGAAAACTAGATTTTATTTCTGAGAAAAAAGTCTTCATACTCTTTCCACTGTACTGCTTTTGATAAAGTGAACACTTTTTATAAATTGAATGCTATAGCTGGAAAAGATTAAAGCATTTTAACTTATTTTATAAGAACAGATTTTATCTTAGCATTGTTATATAGTAGTAGAAAATCTTGCTATATTAACCTACAAAAAATTAAAAAGTCAAAATTAATTTCCCAGAGAAGAAATGTTTTCAGGAAGGAGCTTATGAGCCAATGTTTCCTTTATTGATACAAATATCTAGACCTCATATTAGAAAAGAAATATGGCTATAAATTTCATCAAGAATTTTTTATGCCTGTCAGTACAACTAAACTGCTGGGAATTATGTGTATCTTAATATTTCATAAAATATCAAGAAATGTGCCCAAATTGGTTGTCATTCACTCTAAGTTTGAGCGTGAAACGACTGCATTAAAATGTAGGTACATACAGAACAATCATTACTTGTTTAAATCAGAAACAAATTTGTTTAAATTTGACTACCTTCTTAGTCACCTAAAAGTATATTTTACAAGTGGATGTAACACTGTAATGGGCTTTGCTAATGTTCATTAAAAACATTTTTAAAAATGCATCTATACCACTCTCCATTTTTTACTTTGTCTCAAGAACGTTTACTAATTTGTTTCTCCTCCAGTGAAGTATGTTCTTCTTCAGAGACATCAGAGACGTGGCATTTGCTGTTTTTTCCACCAGAAAGACACACTACTCAGAAATACATATGGCTCCCTCCATGACTTTATTTGGGCCTCTGGTCATATTTCACCCAATTTGAAAGTTCTTCACCATATACTTTATCTAATTTAATGCTCATTTTCTCTTAACCTTTCTCATTTTTCTTCTTGACTGTTAATCACTTTTTGGCATGATATACACAGGTTTATTTTTTGTCTGTGACCTTACAATAGAATGTAAGTTTTGTGAGAGCTGGACATCTGTTTTGTTCATGGCAATATCCTAGCACCTGAGTAGTGCCAGATTCAGAGCCAGCTCAGAACACATGTTTGTTGAGTGAGGGATAAATGGGGCTCTTTGTTACACAACACCCAGCAGAGCAGGGCATGGATTCCTATTTCATTCCTGCCAGCCTTGTTCTTACGGCTTCCTCATGATTATCAGACAGTGTCTTGCAGATTCTTGCTTTGCAAAAAACTTTTTCTATGTCTGTCTTTTTCTTTTTAAAACAGGGTTTTAATTTGCACCCATAGATCACTCCAAACGACTTTATGCCTAGGATTTAAATTCACTCAGTACCAGGTTGGGTCTGGAATTTCTGGTCCTGCTTACGAGTCTATGGTTCTCCTATGTGCCATACCTTATGAATGAGCAACTAACATTCTGCTGGACGCTAATAAACATTAGCATATGGTTACTATCATTGGATATTAAATTTAATTCCAAGCTAGCTGACTTGGGAAAGCCAAAAAAAAAAAATAATTCACAATTATCCTTTTATGACAGAGGGATAAAACAATATATGTTCTATCTTTTAAAAAATGTAAGTGACTTTGAACCACTTAAGGAAAAATGCCTTTTTACTATATATGTTTATAGAAAATGGGAAAAAGTCTGTCTTCAAATTTAGTTGTGAAGTGTGACTAGAGGCTCAATACGGTAACATTTACTGAAGTGGTTAGGGAAATTTAGGAATGTAATATGTAAATTATGCCCTAAGTGGAATACATGCGTATCTTCCATATGTTTGTGTATGTGTGTATCATCACTGGAAAAGGACAGCATTAAAAGTGGCACAGATGCGTTAATGACTGATGTTTGTTCAACATATAGCATCTGATACACTTTTTCTGGCAAATTGAATTATGTGAGACTAGGCCAGGGAGGATGGGTGTGGAGAAGGAAAGATTATGTTTCATCTGTATCGTAGTGTGCAGGGCCTTGAATGCCAGCTGCAAATTTATGTATTAAGATTTGGAATGGCACAAGAACCCTCAGGCAAAGAAAGAGACGATGCTTTTAAAGATGAAATCACAATGACAGCTAAATTGTATGAAACAGCACTGAGTGATGGCTTCCTCCAAAATACATATTTTTTTAAGAAATTGAAGGAGAATGGCATCATTTTTAAGTGTGATAAAGGGAAACTGTTATCAAAGTATAAGTTCTGCTTCTAATCAGATTTACAGTATATATTTTAACAAAATAAATAGCTATAGTTGAACTAAACCTTTTTTAGTTATTATTATATAATTTGAGGCTCATGCAATGTCTTTTCTTCTACATAATAATAAAAAAAACTTCTTACCTTCCCCTTTCATTATCCTTTCAGTAGATGAGTAAAATGAAGTAGAGTTAAAATAAATGTATGACTATATGTGGGAATTTGGTAGAGGTGTTACATTGATGTAACACTAATAACACGAAGGCAAGACCTCAGAGAGTAGTACACGGTATGTTTAATAGTTAAAACTTCCTTGTAATTTTTTTATATTAAATATTAAAACTTGTATTAGGAAAAAAGTGCCCATGGCAATTCTTTTTTTCTAGTTTATGTATAGCTTTCCATAGATTCGGGACATCATTCTGAAAAATTTTGAGATGGACAAGTGCAAAAAGAAATAAATGAGACTTCAGCTCCGTGAGGAAAACTATAATGCCTATTCATTCTCTGACATCATGGCCCTAAAATATATTCTTTGAATGTATGAATTAGTGAATTTTTGTCAACATTTGTTATGGACTGAATATTTTTGTCCCCTCAATATTAATATGTTGAAACCCTAATCCCCAATATGATGACATTTGAAGATGAAGCCTTTGGTATTAGGATTAGATGAGATCATAAGGGTGGGGCCCTGGTTTGATGGGATTAATACTCTTTTAAGAAGAGACATCAGAGAGCTTTCACTCACTCTCACTCTCTTTTTCCCTCTCTCTCTGCACACAAAGAAGAGGTAATGTGGGCACACAGTGAGAAGGCAGTCATCTGGACTTCTAGCCACCAAAACTGTGAGAAGTTAATTTCTGCCTTTTAAGCCACCCAGTTTATGGCATTTCTTTATAGCAGCCCAAGCTGACTGATACAATATCCTAAGCTAGTTTTTAGCTGTAGTATTATATTACATACTCAACAAAACTGAATCTTGAAGTACAAATTAATATCAAAATATTATATATATCTTTTCTACAAAACTGAAATGGTGATTGGATTTAAAACAGTTTGTTTATCTCATGATGGCATTTAATTTCTCTGTCAAAATTTGCTCAGCCTACTGTTTGAACTCCCCAGAATTTACTCATTGTAAAATAAGCTATGTTGTTATTATAACACTAAGTGCTTTATGGAAAGACTGAATATACCTGTGGGAAACATTTTATGAAAATATGCTTCCAATCTCAGTGATAGAATTGGAAAACATAATTAAAGTGATTGTTAGATGCTGAAATAGTTTATCACCTTTATGCTGTGCTTTTAAGTGTTATTCCTAATGGGGCTTTGTTTTTGTTACATATTATATAAATAAGCTGTTTCTTATTTTTCCTTGGGATCTAACTATGCTTCTAATTTCATATGCATTCATTACACTTAATAAAAACAATTAATATATTACAATACTAAGAAGATTGGATATTATATGGAAGGAAAAGTAGTGTATGGGGAGAGTGGAAAGAGATAGTTCTGTTCTGAGTTATGAAAATGAGGAAAGTTGTGTGTGAATATGTGTATTTATTTTTGAAGTCATGGTTTTGATCTGCATACCTTAAGCTGTTTATGTAAGGGATGGCCACTGTTGGGGCTCAGATTCTGATATCCCAAAATATGGCATGTTATCTGAATTGAATAAGAAGCCTCAAGGTCTCTTTGACCTCCTGTCCCCACCATTTCCTTCAAAACATAGAGTAAAGTTGAAATTCCTTTATCTGCCTAAGATCCAGATCCACCAAAAGGAATACTTTTCTTCCTCCTTTTTTTTTTTTTTTGTTTCATTTTTTCCTCCCCTCCCTGTAAGACCAGGAATGTAACCGCAACTGAACAGACCCTTTCACTGTCAAAGAGAACTATCTACTAGTTAATCTCTGTTTCAGGATCCCTTCTTTCTCCCTACTAATTCTTTATTACCCCTCAACAGAATTCCTCTGCTACCTCTTTCCATAACCTGTTTTTGCCAGGATGATATATAAGTTTCACGGGCAATCACTCTGTGATTCTTTCTGTCTATACATGTTAAATAAATTTATATGCCTTTTTCCCAATTAACCTGCCTTTTGTGAGTTAGTTGGCCCTTCAGAGAGTGAAAGGGAAGTTTCCCTTGGCCCATACACCACACCGCCTATAACTTAGGCACAAATGGGTTTTCTGGAACAAGTCCACCATATCATAACTTTGGCTGTATATATCCTCCTCTTAGTTATACTCTGAATCCATTTGGTCATGAGTTTGGTTTCTATAAATCTATAATGTAACTAGAATTTGTTCATAGTCTCATTGTCATGATATGAGATAAATGAGAAAAGTCCTTTAAGAATGAAAGAAACTCTGGGAGGACTTCCAGCTATGGTAGCAGGAAGATGTTCGCAAATCTTCTCCAAAAAATAAGTTTAAAACTGAACAGGATTGTAGAAAATAAGCATATTATGACTCAAAAATTGATTAAAGGCAAAAACCAATTGAGATACATTTGTTTATGAGATATTTCTAGAACCTCATTTAAAAAGAGTGCAGCTTATAGCCTTCTTGTCTGGGGCTTCCTCATTCCCTCTTCTTCCCTTCCCAGCTCTATCAGCACTGCAGTTTCACCAGGATATGACCAGCCAGAAAACCAAACAACTTTGCTGTCGAAGATGATGGACTTGATTTCGAGCAGAAAGTGAAAAAGTACACTCTACGGCGTAGTCAGTAAAAGCAGCAAACTAGGTTGAAAACAAGGATGGAAATCTGAAGCTCTGCTAGACTGAGGTTGTGGACTTGACCGGGGAAAGTGGTAGACAAGCCAGATATTTAAAGGGGAGAGCCTGGAGGTGAAAGTACCTTGGAAGGGACAGGTAAGCACCCCGCCCCCAGCCCTGGCTGACTGGAAGGCAATGGGCAGGCACACAGGAGACTGAGCTGGACCAGAGAAAGTGAAAGCTTAGGTAGGATTGAAAATTGTTCAACTCCCACCCTAGGTCCGGGATCCATCATCTTTAGAGACATAAGGCATTGGAGCACAGCCTTTGTCCAATCATTGGCTGACCAGCAACCCACAGGGAAATGTGGCCTTGTGGTAAGAAAAACAGAAATTAAGAGAAAGATTTAGTAATGTTTTTGTTGATTTTAAGATATATATTTTTGCGTGTACAATTTTGTTTCTATTGCTGCAGATAAATAATCTGATTTTAAAACTATTTGATAGGATTCTGAGGATCTCCAGATGAACCACAGAGATAGTTTAGCCACTGCCTTTTGAATGACTTAACTTCAGATGCCACCGATACATGTTAGAATAGTCAGTTAGGTATGAGCGAGGGAACGGAAAAGATAGTCAACTGGCTCCAACAAACAGGCAAACAAGTTCTTGAACAAACAGACCTGAGGGGAAGAAAAGAGCCATTAATTTCCCAGAGTTGCACAGGTACAAAAGTGACATTTCCTCCATTATATCACAAATGTAATAAGTTAACATCGTGGCTTTGACCCTTTGTAGGAAAAACAGGGAAACTATGAATAAGAACAAAATGAACACTGACCACCCAGCCTTCTTTGACTTCAACAAATAAAAATAGCAACTGCTTTTAAATAAAAATAGCAGTTGCTTGAGAGTGTACTTTTGCTTCTGCACGAGCCTTTCCTAATCCTGTCTGCTTTTACTCAATAAACTTGCCACTATCGCTCAGTTTCATGCAAGTCCTGAAATTTTTCTATGACGTTAGCAAGAACCTTTATGATGACACTCCCAAAGAAGTTTTACAATGAGAAAAGGAAAAAAAAAAAAAAAAACCTCACGAAACTAGAAACATAGACTTCATTGCACACGTTACCATCTAAAATCCCCTAATAATGATAATCCTATTCAAAATAATCCATGTTTCATTCAAAGCTAAATGTATTTTCTTCCTGGTATCCTTCATTAATAAGAGCCACTAGTAAAGATTCTGTGATGTTTCTTATGCCAGTGAGAGATATTCTTGAAATACTGGCCTCTGCCTCAATCTTTTTCAAGCAGCTAGATCTACATTTCACAGCTTCAAAAGAAGCATGACGCAGGGTACATAACAGAATGGCTCTTTTAAAGTAGCCTACAATTGTAGGAGAACTTAGAGACTTTCTGAAGGAGGTCAAAAGAAAAGAAATGGGGTTTCAGATAGAAGCAGGGTGACTTGATGGACCATCATGGGAGAAGGATTTTCTTGAGACTAAATGGAAACTTCTTGATCTGAGAAAGGAAAAAAGGGAGAGGTCGTTGGGTCTAGAAATAGTCAGCTGGGGATATGGGCATCAGGGTTTTACAGAGAAATGATTACAAGTAGTCTCAAGCTCTACACATAAGGATTCAAAATTCAACAAAGATTTCTATGCACAAAGAATTTCAACAAAATATCAGAGAACCATGAAACCTGAAATGATCATATATGTGGGACATTTAGTGACCTGTGTAGACAACCAAAGACTACAGCCACCCATGCACTTATAGGGTCTTGGAACTATGGCAAAAGGGAAGGAACATAGACATAGCAGTAATAGAGCTCAAAAGTAAGGTCACCCCAAGAGAATGGAGACTCAATGTAAAATTTAAAGTTATTTTAAAAAAATAAGTAATTTTTTTTCCCTCTCACAACAGAGGTTATGGACTGAGATTTATACCTGTTATTTACATTTTTTAAGTTCCAGTTTGATCATGGACCATATGTTATTTTATTAAATAAGAAAATATAAACTTCACAAATTTCATGTAAACACCTAGGGATAAATACTTTTAGATTGTTTTTGTCTCTACATATGACATGGAACTAATCAATTCTTTACGATTTAAAAATAATAACTAATAACATTTTTAAAACACTAAAACAAAAGAAAGGAAGTCTTATATTTTAAACCTTATCATCATGATGTTTCAAAGATAGATTAAAATCCAGTATAGAATGGCCTTTAGTTAGAGGAATTCATTGTAAAATTAAAAAAAACAAGAAAAGAAAAGAACCATTTGGACATGATCAAACACATTCTTCACATTCTGAATATCTGGACAGATGGAGGGAAAATTAACATGAAAAGAGTGGATATTCCTAGGACAAAAAAATGCTTTCAATCGGGCGTAAATTTATAAGCCTCTAAAAATTTGAAGATGAATTCACTTCATTACTCTCATCAAATAATTAGAAATGCTACAGTGATCTCTAGGAGAGAACTAATTAAAAAAAAAGAAAGACATTCAGGTACAATAGTTTCAATTCATACAAATTATTTTATAAGAGCAAAATTTTGTACTAACCCACCAAAGCTAAGTTCCCATATGGCATTTTACCATGTTATGCAGATGTCCTCTGGTAGTGACAATAAAATTTAGGAGCCACATTGCCACTACTGTATTAGGAAGACCTTGTTGCCACTATTTTGATAGCTTTTGATTGCTTGACTCTAGTCTCTTCTACTAAAAGAAAAGCACTTTTTGCCCTATTGCTAGAGAATGTGTCAAGAAGCTATCCTAGTTCTGATGATGGCCCTGTCCTGCATGAAAACTCCCCACTGGCTGTAAAATCAAGGACACATTCCCTTAGAACACATTCAAAGATTACTAATTTAATCCAATCAAGTATGATTTACTATAAAGCACAATAGTGCTTTAAGTTTTATTAACCTTACTAATGCTAGACTAATATATAATAATAAATTCTTGAAGCATGGAAGTGCCACAATGAAAACCATACTACACAGAGATAAAAAATAAGAGTTCTTTCATAAAACACCTAAGAATATAAATCCTAACTCTACAGAAACTGTATAACTCAGTTGCATACTGGTAGAGCAGCTCTCTGAAAAGAAAAGAAAGCCCTGACTTGTAACATTTGCCAATTTCTGTGGTGTAAATAATTCCACCATGGCCATTTAAAAGCTACCAACAGTTTATAACAGTCTTACAAAATTTAACAATTACCTCTCACAAACTAGCATGAACTCACTCAAGCACATCACCAATCTGGCAAATATCCCAGGACAAAAAAAATTGGTCAAGTTTCTTACTCTTCCCAAAACTTGCCTTGTTTATAAAATAATCCTCATATTGGAGTGTTGTTCTGGGGTTTAAGTGAGATAATAATACATTACAAAGTATTTTTTAAGTGACTATCTCAAAATAAAGATTCAATAATGGTATTTATTTTTATTATATTACCAAAATATATTAAATGAATTAAATGCTAGGGATGCAGAAAGTTAGCATAGTGACTTTTAAAGTATAATATAAATATGGAGTGTTACATGTTATTTGCTCAACAAGGCAGATACCAGAATTGGAGGAATCACAAACTAGTGGTTAAATAATTAAATTTCCACCAAGTAAGTTAAACTAGGAAATTTCTACTTTACTGCAAGGATCACAGCTCCTTATATTTCTAAACCTATTTACATATTTGAATGGCTATTTTGTCTCCTGAAATTATTTAAATTTGTTGCAATTGATGGAATTAGATAATATGAAAAGAGAGTACACTGAACAAGGCTAAAGATTAAAAAATGGTAATTAGAAAATGTTAGTGCCTTGATTTTTTCCCATCATTTATAGAAAATTATGGGTTATTTATATGTTTTTCTATACTTCCAACTATGGGCATTATGAGATGTAACTGAGTGGAAGAAAATCTCACCATAATTAAAGACATGATCCAGGAATGGTTTTAGATTTGTATCATAACTCTGATTTAACCCAGAATAACTTTCTCTTTGATCTTTAACTTTCAGGATTTTTTCTAGCTTCTTACAGTCCAACAACACCTTGATTTTCAAAAGAAAAAAAGTGTGTTTCAAAGATTTCCAGTCTCTCTCTCTCTCTCTCTTTTTTTTTTTTTTTGTTCAAGATAAGGCCTTGCTCTCTTACCGGGGCTAGAATGTAGTGGCATCATCATAGCTCACCTCAACCTCAAACTCCTGGGCTCAAGCGATCCTCCTGCCTCAGCGTCCTTCAAATAGCTGGGACTACAGACACACCCAGCTAAGTTTTCTAACTTTAGTAGAGACGGGTATCACTCTTGCTCAGGCTGGTCTCCAACTCTTGAGCTCCAGCAATCCTCCCACCTCAACTTCCCAAAGTGTTAGGTTTACAGGCATGAGCTAATGTGCCTGGCCTAGTCCGTTTTTTTGTTTTTTTTTTTAATTAAACCTTTTCCTATCTTTATAAGTTTTCAAGCTAGATTCATCACCATATGGTGCAATCAACAGCCAAGATACAGAGCAAACTAACTTGCCCACAAGACATAGAGTTTATGATGCGGCCTCATTAGCATTAACCTGCCCTAAGCAAGTTATGGGGTCCATAAAAATTGATGCAGAGTAAAGTAAGATGATGAGTGCTACTCAGATATCAAAATAATTTTTTTTTTGCTTAAAGTTTCAGACAATATTTATGGCATTAATCTTGGACTTTTTTCCCAGTTGTATACATAATTACATCAAGTAAATAATTTCTATTTACTAAATAGAAATTATTATGGGAAAAGGATTTCATTCAAAGCATTTTTGAAAGTAAAATTGGATAGTATCATGCTGATTTTATTTATGTTTCAATGTATCATTATCATTAATAGAAAAATATTAATCTCTGTTTTAAAGATAAATAACTTCTCTTTGAAAACATGGCATGGAAATTTTAAAATTTAGAATAATTGCTGAAATTAAATTTATATATACAGAGTCAGTATTTTTCTTTCGTTTTTAAAATTCCAAAGTCTGTCATACTTCTCATAATAGTACAAAGAATAATATGATAAAAACCTTGGTAATTATGCAGATTAGGAGAGAAACTTAAAATGTCATACGTTCATTCAACAGACATTTTTGAGAACTTTGTTTATGCCAGGTTCTGTTCAAGGAACTGGAGATGTGACAGAGAGCTAATCTCCTTGGTATCTTTTCTACTTCTAAGGGAATTGATTACATTGTTGTGGTGTTTGCAACTCATAAATAGTTCATGTACAAAAACATATATTTTAAATGTTGATAGAAATAAACACAGCTTGCTTTTTCCCTGATATCATATTTGTGTTGTTTATCCACATTGAAATGTGAATCCTAATTCAATTTTACTGCTAAAAGAATATTTAATTGTATATTTCTACTCCAATTTAGATATCCATTCTCTTCTAAATGGTTTTTTCAATATATTGCTATTATAAACAATGTTTCAATAATTATTTTTTGTATATCTTCTTGTGAACATGTTCATAAATAGTTCACATCATAATTCCAGGAGAAAGTAAGTGGATAGTAAGTTATGAATATCTTTACGTTTACCACATAGTGTCAATTTGCTTTTTTAATTTCCTTGGAGTTTATTTAAAATTTAGATTCATATTTCTTCCTGCCATTCGATTCCAGTGATGGATGGACCCTGGGATTCTGCCCTCTGTTTTTTATTTATTCAGGATATTATGGGGGTACAAACATTTTGGTTACATGTAATGCTGTTTGCCCCGCCCAAGCCAGGGTGACAAGCGTGTCTCTCCCCCATGCAGTGCATTCCTCTTCCATTAGTTGTGAATTTATCCCCCTCTACCCCTACTGACACCCAATGAGTATTACCACCATGTGAACAGCTTAGTGTTTGTCAGTTAGTACCACTTAGATGCCAAGTACATGTGGTGCATGTTTTTCCATCCTGGTGATACCTCACTTCCAAGGATGGGCTCAATCTCTATTCAGACTAATATAAGAAGTAGATCACCATTGTTTTTTGTAGTTGAGTAGTATTCCATAGCATACATATACCACATTTTATTTTTCAAACTTGTGTCACTAATGTCCATTCCTACTAGCAGTGTCTCAGGGTTACTACTATTGCTCCAAATCCTCCTGAATGTGTAGAAATGTAAGTCTTCTCTAATTCCTTTCCTTTTCTTTTTCATTTTTCCTTTTTAGAAATTTTCCTTTCCCTGTATTTCTTTGTCCCTTCCTGCCTTCCTCCCTCAGTCATTTCTTTCTTTCTTTTGCTATCTGATGGACATGAAATTTTATCATATTATTATATATATTTACATTTCCAAAATATGTAAGACTGAAAAAATATTCTTACTTACCGTTTATATTATTTTCTGAATAGACTGTCAATATACTTTTGATTATTTTTTCCACTAGATTCATTCTGCTTGATCTGTATGAGTTTTTAAATTTTAAAAAATTTTCTAGATAATACTAGTAGATTTGTGTCTACCAAGCAGTTAGATGTAAATACCAGCTACAATCATATGATCAATTTCCAAGTGAAGATTTTAAGCATTAAGAGTATTTTCCCTTCACTTACTAGAAATATATTTATATGTCTATTAGCAAATTTTCTTTCCTTTCCCTCTCGCATTACCCTAACATCTAGCATGGTTTGTGTTAGTAGTAATGAATCTTCTGCTTTACTATGTATGTTATCAATGTCAGAGAGGGAGAATGTAAAGGATAGGGAAATTAAATAATTTTCCTGAGGACATAGATCTAGTAAGAGAACTAGTTCAACCTGGGTGACCTGGCTTCAGAGTATTTATGCTTACCTATTTCGTCACCCATCTTTGAAATTCTCATGAAAAAAATCATTTGAAAAATACTAAAAAGTGAGCTAATGCTAGCAAATAAATGTTTACTCATTATTCTAATCTATGGAATCATCTTTTATTATTAGATTATCTGAGGAGATGTAGACAGAAAAAAAGATCAGATAAAAAAGAGAGAGTTTGTATTTAATCTGTATATTTATTTTTTTTTCTTTTTTTTTATTTCGGGATATTATGGGGGTACAGATTTTAAGGTTTCAATAAATGCCCTTTCCCCCTTCCCCCCATAAGTCTGAGTTTCCAGCAATTACACCTATTCATAAGACTTATTCATTTTTCCTTATTATACTTGTTCACTTATTATTTTGTAAAAAAAAGTACCATAAATGTAAAATTTTTGGTAATGTTGCCAGTCGATAAGGCAAGTGAAAAACGGGACAAAAGTCAAAGTACAATGGTAGAAAGCTATTAATATGTTTGTAAATTTGAACAAAATGAATTAGAAGTAGAATTATCAGGGTTGGGTGCAGTGGTTCACATTTCTATTCCCAGCTCTTTGGGATCCTGAGGCAGGAAGATTGCTTGAGGCCAGGAGTTTGAGAGCAGCCTGGGCAACACTGCAAGACCCTGTCTCTAAAAAAAAAAATAAAATCAGTTGGGTGTGATGGTGCACACCTGTAGTCTTAGCCACTCAGGAAGCTGAGGCAGGAGAATCATGTGAGTCCTGGAACTGGAAACTGCAGTGAGTTCCAACTTGGGTGACAGAGCAAAACCTTGTTTCAAAAAAAAGTGGAATTATCCAAGCAACAGAACTCTTAGACCAGCAGTATAGCTTTTAAATTTCTATGATTTTCCCTTAAATATAAACAAAATTAACTATCTCATGATGGACCTTTGTATTTCCTTCTATTCAACACTAAAAATCCTAAAATCAAAGGAGTTTCCAACAAATGTTGCTGGAGCATTTGGACATTTGTATTACGTTATTTTATTATTTACACATTTAATTATATATGTATGTGTATATATTATATATATGACATGTATGTCATGTAGGAGATATATAAATAAAAATATAAAGTAATTATGATCATTGCTTTATTTAGTCAATACGATTTTAAAGCAACTACATTTGTACCATTTTTCTTTATTTAATGTTTTATTTCTTCTTCCTGCATCTCTTACCTTCTATTAGAATATTTTTCTTTCTGTCTGAAAGACATTCTTTAGGACTGCCTTTAATACATGCCTATTTATGGCAAATTCTTTCAATTTTTGTTTGTCTGAAAATGCCTTTATTTGTGAGCTGTTAGAGGCACTTCGTGAAAAATGAAAAATAAATAAATAAAAATGCCTTCATTTTCTTGCATAATCCTTTCATATTCTAGATTTAGCAATTATTTTATTTTAGCATTTAAATATATCATTCCACTGAATACCATGTATTGTTTGAAGATAATTTTTCTTTTATTTTTTATCTTGTCTTTGTTTTTTAGCAGTTTCTTACCTATCGATTACTTTTTATTTATGCTTCTATTTATGCTTCTTGTGATTCAAAGAACTCCTTGAGACAGTTATCTGTTGGATTTTATCAGTGCTTTTGAATAATATATACTGGTTATACTGGACTACATCAATCAAGGTAATCAATGCAATATCATTATTATCAGGTCTAAAATAATTTGTAATTTTTAAAGATATAAAATATATATATTGACTATTTAAATGAGAATATTAAGTTTAGAATGTTACTGAAATAGATGACAATGTATTTGCTTTTTCAAAACTAGTGTTCACATTGCTTATAATATGTGTTAATAGAAATGCCTGATAAAGAAGTGAATCAATAAGGGAATTTAAAGCAGAGGATGAGCTTTTAAATATGACTCTTTAAATTACTCAAGGGTAATGTATCATTATATTAACTTAAAACAAATAGTAGATAACTTTAAATATTTTATTCAAATTCAGCATCTGTCAGGATCTCATATAGTTCTTGTGTTTATATAATAATAAAATGCCACTTGACAAAATACAAATTTCAATCAACTAATTATTCTGCCAATTATCTAACTCCATTTTAGTGAATATTTGATTAAAAGGCTAGATTAGCTTTACCAATAACCTCAGGTTATTTGGTAATTATGTTTGGGTTCTGGGACAGTTTATTCTATGCCTGATTTACCAGTCATAAATTATGTATAAAACTTTTATAGACTTTTAGTTCCTTTTACTAAGATTATCTTCTCTGTGGTTTGCACATTAGTTTTGATGAGAAAATTTATAATTTAACATTCAAATTAGAGTCTTCATTCTGGAACAAGTATATTGGTTAGAAAATCAAATATCTGTATTTGAGTTTCGGTAGACTTAAAATCATTAAAATAATCAAACTTTAGGCAGTTAGTATATATCTCTAAGTCACTTAGGCAGAATACCATGAAATTGCATTCCTGCTATTTTGAAATGCAAGAGTCCTTTATATCTGATGTAAACAATATAAAGAGAAAAAAGTCTAATTAACTCATTTCTGACATTAGCTTACTCAGTATTCAGAGATAATGCTTATTCTGATCAAAGAAAACCTTTGAGTTATAATAAAACATTTTGCTATCATAGTCACAAATACAATTCCCAGAGTTATGCCATTTTACAGCCAAGCAATTATTTTTCATGTTATGACTATGATGTGAAATATTACTAATATCTGAATACATTGGTCTAGTTTTTTTAGTTTATATGCAATCAGGGATTCTCAGAGTTGACTGAGGCCTTAAAAATTATACAATCTTTTCATTTTTCAAAAGAGAAAAATAAGAATACAGGAACAGACATTCTTAGATGCCTATTTAATATCTACCTTCTCTTTTTTCCTTACCAATATAGAACCAATTTTATTCGGATGCTCACATACCTCTTTAAAATATTCATATACTTACACTACCTTGTTTATAGGGAATCACAATTTAAAATGTCTACTTACATCTTAAAACAATTTAAGATGTAAGTAGACATCTACTGGATAGAGTTCCCTGGATTGTTTTCCTCATTAAAAAAATAGATTCAACTGATTCACTTTTTGCCATTTACCTTCTTCCTCCCTAAAGGAGTTGGAGTATCTGACTTGCAACCAGGAGGGAAAATGCACATGTTAAGGATGCTGGATTATAAAGATACTTAACAAAGTCTTTAATAGTTGCAGTCTGGACTGCTTAACTCTGGGCATCTTTATATATATATATATATATATATATATACACACACATATATATATATATATATATGAAAAAATATAACCGTATTTTGAGAACCACTACAGTCAGCTTTCTTTTCATGCAATCAAATTTATTTTTAACTGATATAGTCATAACTAGTATAGTGACATTGACAGAGCTTGAACTCATAAGTATTAATAGAATATTGTTTTCATTAAACTATGTTGTCTATAAGAATTTCTGTTTCAGTAGTCACAGATTTACATACCATTGATGGTAAAAACTAAACGGACAAAAGCAGAAATCTTTACAAAGCAAAATTTAGTTAAAATTATGATATAACTACCATATACCTTTTAAATAAGACAATAGAAGAAATTGTATTTTAGAAAAAACACTTTTGCGAAAGATTATACAAACTCTTACTACTCTCAGTAAGTAAATAATCACTATTTTCTGGTGAATGTTTTCTTTCTCCTTTTCAGTCTCTCATTCCCCTAGACTGAAATCACTAGAATTCCCCTGAACTTTCCCGCTTCTTAATTTATCCAACAATTTAATTATTTTTCAACTATCTTATTTATTTCTCTCAGCATTTTTCAAAAGTGTGTTATCTTCTTTGCCATGCTTAGTCAGGCCTTTGTTGCTAACAAACCAGATCATTGTGATTGTCCAACTTCTGGCTTTCCTGCTTTCATGATTTTTCTGATCCAATCTATTCCGCATAATGCTGCCAACTAAAACCCTCCTGAATGTTAATACTGTTTATGTCAATATGTCCACTTCATCCCACACACAAACACACGCTATTTAAAATTATAATCTAATATATTTTTTTGTTTTCATAGGACTTGCTGTTTGACCACTTCAGAGATAATATATCTACTATTTCTTTCATTCACCATCACTCATTTGTCACTATTTTTTCATCCAATCCAACCAAAGTAGACACCTTTTAAATCTCTGCGTTGAATTTTATGTAGAGTAACAGAGTGAGCGATTTCTTTACATGAAATGATCTTTCCCATATCCACCTATGTTCAAATTGTACTCATATATCAAAGGACAGAAATGATATCTCCCTCATAAAGCATTTCCTCATTTTTAAATATTCTGATTATGATTAAGAATAACACATTCCATAAATCTTACTCGGTTTTCACACTTATGATTACAGTTTATTTTGTCTGCCCATTTTACTTATTTATGAAACTAGCATTTTCTAACATGTTTAAGGAGACTTGGAAATCTATACTGCATTTAGAATTTTAGAAGATTTAGAAACCTCAGTAACTGTCTTTAATAAATATTCTATAAACTTGTTAATATTTTAAAAGGATATATTGACATCAACAATAAAGGGTGCTTATCAGATAGTAAAAAATATTTTACATATAGCATGGTCTATGAAGATCTTTGTGTTAACATAGAACTGTTCCACTCTTTATGCTTGAAATTAGGTTGCTCTGGGTTTTAGGAGCATGTGAAAAGGCTAAGGGGCCTTTCCGGGAGTTAAATAACTTGTTCTAGCTCTGCTGTGAAGGAATAATCAAATAAAAGACCTTAGCTTTTTTCCATTGTCTGTATACATGGTGACAATGATGATGAACATACATGTAGTTTTAATAGAAGGCTTCAAATCTTCCTAGAGTGCTTCTGTTAAGAGAGACAGACTCTGTTTTCACCTCCAGTCACATGGCACCGAATGCTTTGTGTTCATTTGTCTTTAAAACATGAATAAAAGAATACTGAGGACAATGTTTCCAGAAGTGGAAAAAGAAGTTTTCATTAATAAGGATTGGGACCTTTCTTCTGTGCCTCATGATCTCTTATGCTTACCATTGCATTTCTGTGTTGTTCATTGCTTTATTATCACCATATTTCATCAACTCTCAGTCACATTTTTTCACTTTTCTCTAATTGAGTTATTGAAATATTTTATATATTTCATAATTAGGAAAAAAACCATTTTCAATCTTCAGATAGAAGATTCTGCCTATCTGATTTCCACTTCACTTGAACTATTTTCAAGTGAAGGACCAAATGGGTCTACTATTTAAATTTGAATTTCTACTGGTACCATACATTTTTTTTGAAGATTATTAAGATGAGACAGTAATTTGTCTTATATGCTTAGAACATCATCTGGTTGTTAGAAAATGCAATTGACAACAAATAAATTGCCAAATCTCTTTAAATAAATAATAAAATTTGAGAGTTAGGAGAGTTAGGTATAATTAGTTCATGAATCAAGAAGGAATGTCATTTAAGTACCAAGCCTTTTTCTGTCATAAGTAAAGACTTTTGAGAGATGCCACCCAACTTCTATATTTACATGAGTACAACGACAATTTTAAGCAAATAGGAAATGCAATAAAAAAGTCACATATGATACTATCAATCCCAAAAGTTAAAGAAGATAAGTAAAATAATTTTTACTAATAGCAGAATATAATGATGCCATAAATTTTTACCAATAACCATAGGAATTCAGAAAAATCAGAATCTAAATATGCAGAAATCTTAGATTTGAATTTTGATTTGGATGTAGAATAAAAGGAGTATATAATTGTATGAATAAACAAATGCTGTTTTCAATTAAATTTCTTAAAAATGCATATTTAAGCTAGGCATGGTACCTCACACATGAAACCTCAGCACTTTGGGAGGCGGAAGTGGGAGGATGGCTTGAGCCCATGAATTTGAGTGGGCAACATATCAAGACCCTATCTGTACAAAAAAATAGTTAGCCAGGCAAGGTGGCATGTGCTACAGTCTTAGCTACTCAGGAGGTTGAGGCAGGAGGATTACTTGAGCCCAGGAAGTTTAATAAACACTATTCTAGTCCTGTTCTTCATCTGAACTGTTAATTTTAATTACAATGAAGTGCTAATGACTAAAAAAAAAAAAAAAAAAGGATTTCTTGAGTCCAGCAGTTTGAGGCTGCAATGAGCTATGGTCATGTCACTGCTCAAGCCTAGGCAACAGAGCAAGACCTCATCTCTTTAAAAAGAAAATGCACATTTAGCACAGTGTTTCTCTTCTACTCCTAATCTGAATTAAATCAATCTAAGATAGATTATATCTATCTTAGAATAGATATAATTTGTTATTAAACGGGATTTAATGTACTTGAGGACAGAGAATATGTCTTATTTATGTATATCAAGATGTATTAAAAATCTTCATATATAATATGTGAAAAGCAAATGCTTTTTGAATGAAAATATAGAAGAAAAACATAACAATTTTATTGGAAAAAAGTATTATTCATCCAAATATTATTTTTATTCAGTCTTTATTTTTTTAGGTGAGTGGAATTCCCATCTAAACACTTGATATGTTTACCCCCTCATCCATTTGGTGTTTTCTTTGTCAGATATTTTAATTCTTAATAAGTCATTCATATTAATGTTTTATATAGCCAATTTTTACTTAGACTACCACACTTTTATTTTTTTCAGCGTTCTTTATTCCTTTCTTCATTACTAAAAATCAAGTTGGGACAATTTATCTTCTGACTAAAGAAATTTCTTTAGTATTTCTCTTAGTGCAAGTAGGCTATTTATGAGTTCTCTCTTTGCCTTAGTTTTAATTCACCTTCAGTTTTAAATATATTTTAGGCATATATCAAATTATAGATTAGCATTTATTTCTTTTAATATATTTTAAACATATTGCCTATAGTGCTGGTTTTCATCACTTCCATTTAAAAATCAGATGACATTATTATTCTTGTTCATTTAAAGATAATGCATTTATTTTCCCTGATTGCTTTTAATACTTTTCTATGTGTTTGAATATTAGTGATTTTGCTATAGCTTGTATAAGTTTGACCTCCTTTAAAAAATATTTATCCTTCCTGCTTCAGTAGCTTTATGTCTTTTATTAATCAATTTTAGGAGATCCTTAACAGTATCTCTTTTTATGTTTTGTTTCAGGATATTATGGGGGTACAAACATTTTGGTTACATATGATGCCTTTGCTTCCCCCAATCCAGAGCTACAGGTTTGCCCTTCCTGGCTGTGGAGAGAGAGAAACAGTAGCTTTTCAAATAGAAATTACTGCCTCCTTTTTTTGTCTCTTCTCCCTTGGGGACTACAATGGCAGTTCTACTACAATTCTCCTTAATTTTGTCGCATGTATACTTTACATTCTTTCCCATATTTTTATTTATGTTTGCTTCATGTATCAATCTGTACATTTATACTGACTTATCTTCCATTCCACTAATATTTTATCCAGCTTTGTCTAGCAGTGACCCTTCATGAGTTTCAGTTAAAAACTTGGAGTATTTTACAAGGCTTTCACTCCTAATCAATACCTGAATTGCATTTTTCCCCCTCTTCAGCACTGACTGCTCTGCCATCTATTTAGCTTCTCAGCTCTTGCTTTCAGCCTATTTGCCCAGCCTCTCATTCCTTGCAGATTAGAAGTTAAGAACTGCTACACAGGCAAAGAGTCAGTCACGTGAAATCAGGTATGCCTCTCTATTGCTGTCTTTGCTCCTGACATCTTGGTCTTTTCATTCCAAGCTGTTAAAGTAGCCTTGAACTTAATTTTTGTCTTCACAGTTCTGCACCACTTCAAAAAGCTCTGAGCCTTGACTTTTTACTTGATCTTAATGACTGAAATGAACCCCTCCAACAGACTAACAGATTCTCCTTTGGCTAAAAGAGCAGAAATTTTAAGTTCCAGGCCATGGCAGGATGGGAGGCTAGTGGTGTTCCATTTGCTTTCACTTTCCTCTTCCCCTTGCTCATAATGACTAGATTTTATCCAAGGCCAGCTTGGCAGAACAAAAGGCAAGAAGATCCCTCTGTTTACTTTATCCAACCACCTGGCACCCTCCTCCTACTTTTATGATTCTGACTTGACGCCTGTTCTGGACCACAAATTGTTTCATCTTGATAAATGACCATGGGTAGCTGACTGGTTTTGGCTGATCTCTTGAGGATATGCAGTTCATGAACTTGTGCCCTAAACTTCATTTTTTTTTTTAACCTGTAAGACCTAACTATAGTACACTGAAACATTAAATCTTCACCCCAGATTGAACATAGGTTGTATGTTTCTGTATGTTTCATACATGTACACCTAATATACATGCATGCGAGTCTCCTTAATATTCATAAGCTCCTCCATCTCCTGTTGAGTATCTATATCTTGCCACCCCTCTTAGCATATACATTAATCCTATCTCTTCTTTGTCCCCTTTGAAGCATGACTTTATGGGCTCCACCTGAGGCTTGCTTCCTGCTTGCAGGATGTAACCCCTTAGAAATAAAGCTCTCCTTTAAATTTACTGACTTTTTGACTCTTTTTCAGTCAACAGCCCATGGTCCCTGTGTTGCTGACAAGTTGGCAAATGCCTCAGGAATAGAAGTGGCAGACAAATAGTATCGGAGTCTTTTCACTGTGTTTTTCTTCTCTTGCGCATTTGGGGTTTTGAAGTATTGCCTGCCTTAGTTCCTTTCCAATATCTTCAAACAACAGTTTTCATGTTTAATCCAAGTTTTATATTTACTCTTCTTGAGAAATTTTATCTGATATAAGCTATTCTCCCCTGACCAGAAAATAAGATCCCTGAAATTAGTTTTCAATCAGCTTTTAAAACATGGAGACTGGGGATAATCAACAATGACATTCAATTTGCAAAGAAAATGTTTTCAACATTACATATAGGTATATTGGTTTATACACTTAAGTTTACATGGCTTTGGAAAAATAAAAGCACAATGCCATTTTTGTAATTAACAATATAGTCATGTTCTGTCAAATCAGTAAAATCATTATAATGTGTAATGAGAAAAATTTACACATCACCTGAATAAATCAATGGTTTTCTTAAAATTTCTAAATCTATTTAATAGTTCAATAGTTTCAGTGACCTAAGTTTATTATTAAGCTAATTACCATTTTGATGTGATCAAATAAGATATTTTTAAATGCCACCAAACACTGATTTTTGCATGTAGTCTTCCATTAATTATGTTATGGCCTTTGCTTTTTCATAATATTTGACTGAGTTTTTCAATTTCAGGGTCATTCTCACCATGTAACACTTAAGCTTACTTCAGCTAAAATCAGAAACGTCGCAGCACTACTTGCTCATTCTGGATTAATATAGGTAAGTTTCTGCCTTTGTATTTCAACCTGTAGTCTGTGTTTTGTTTATGGACTACATCCTGCAGGACAGTACAGTTTTTTAATTTATTCTGTAGAGAAGCACATTGTATGAAAATCAATAAGGTTCAAGTATCAAGTCTTCTTTTTATTGTTCTTATCCTGGCAAAATCCTCCTTTAACTTCTAAGAGAAATGCCTGTTTGAGGGCTAAATTATGAGGCTCATTTCTTTTTGGTATGGCATAATCCAAAACAATGATTGGTGGATTCTTTAGCACGTGCAAATTGAATGCAAAATATATATATATATGTATTATATATTAATTAATGAAAATAAAAATTTTGTTCCTTAACTTCCATTTCATGAATTATGTGACCCATGTAAAATAGTTTTCTATAAAAATAATACTTATTTGATGAGGTCCTATTTATTTTGTAACTTTATCAGTAGGGAGTTTTAAAATATGTTTAAACTTAAACTAAAAATAAATATTTTAATACAGATATTAAATTCATGTGGTTTAAAATTCAAAATTTATCAATAGGCTTAGAATTATGGATCTTGGAAAGTTTAGACTGAGTTTGTAATGCCGTTTGAATGAGTAAACCAGTAAAAATGGAAAAGAAGATGTAGATAATCATTTAGTAAAATTTAAAAATTCTTGAAGCATGTTTATTTGAAATATATAAAAATTAGAGTAGTTATAAGATCAAATATGGAAGATGCATGAAGAGTCCATGAGATTGTGAAATGTCTATTAAAAACCTTTACTCTGATACTATGTTCTTCCTTGTTCAGTTCAGGAAAGAAAAATAGATTTCCTTCTGGATATTCAGGAGGAAAATAACTTTAAGGAAAGATATCCAGGATAAAATTTGTGAAAAACTGATTCTTTGAGGTATGTCTTTGTTATTTAGAATACTAACAATTCTTCAACAATTAGAAAATTAAGTCAGAATAAACACCAATGACTTGTACTTATATAATGCTTTCTAATTAATATAAATGTTTCATTTAAATTATTTCATTTTATTTTTATGGCACTGATGTGCTACATTAAAATCTCCATTTTATTGGTTGCTTTTATTTCCTGGTATTAAATAGGGAATAGAGAGCCCAGTCTAGACCTGAATCCATATTGTTTGACTGGATAGTCAGCTTATTTTACACTTCATCACAATTAACTTAGAGCTAATTGAGAAGAATATTGAACACTTACAGGTTGGAATTTGAGCAATGAACTTATATATATATTTTATACTTTATGTGTAAGTTTTTAGAGTGGTTATGAATAGTTTTCTTCATCTTTGCAGCACCATGTGACCTACTTTTTCTGGTCAGGCTTTTTTATGATTATTAGGCTGATTATTAGCTCAACATGCTTCCAAGCATCTGTTTACATATTCATTCTCTACTCCACTTGATTTTCTTACATAAATTTATTTAGATAAAAATAAATCTGTTTATTTTAGGGTAAGGGGTAAAGCTCAAATACTCAGGGGCACTGCAATGGTTTTATGTGTCTTGCTGACCATATAGGAATAATGTTCCTAAAGAACATTTTTAATTCCTTAGCCCCTTACTTAAAATCTTCATTTTTTTCAATTGTCTTTTAAACAAAATCTAACACTTTATTTAGAAGCCCGCAAAAACCAAATAGCAACGCTAACAGCAAATTAAGACTTTTTATTCATTTCCTTCCACTTCCTCCCTTGTTCCTTTGATCATGCTGTTCCCTGTGTATGGCCCACCCAAATGCTATTCATGTCATGTGCCTTCTACAAACCACCTCCCTACTCATATCACTTTCTCTGACTTACTTTTAGCTCATTTTTGAATAATACTTATCACCTAATGTGACAAATACTAACATTTTCAAGCATAACTACCTTGGGATCATTGATAATTGCCTTTATCCATTTATGGCACTCAGCCAAATATGAATTTATTGATTCTCACCTCCAAATCCAAAATTTTTGCTTGCTTCATAAAAAAGCACATCGGCACACTAAGTAATTTTGTTTTCCCAGCTGATATGCTGTTCAACTTTATCAGTAGAGGGTGCTAGAAAGACATTTCAGGAGGAATGGGTTTTGCTTCCCCTCTCAGGAGGCTCCTGCAGTGTATACATCTCTAGCACCAGGCTCCTGCAGTGGATACATCTCTAGCACCAGGCTCCTGCAGTGGATACATCTCTAGCACCAGGCTCCTGCAGTGGTTGCTGCTTCTCCAGCCAGAAACACTCATGGGCCAGTAGCTTCACATCCTCTTCTTGGGTGGTTTTGAGTAAAATGTTTCCAATGAGATAATTCGTAGTGAACAAATTTCCCCAGTACACTAGCGGGTGGATATCTGGAGATTTCCAAAGGAGAGATGCATCAAGCTTTGCCTATGCTGCACCTCAGTTACTTTTAGACAATTCACTTAGCCATGGCTCTGTCCTCCTCTGTATCTCAGCCCCGTAACAATCTTTCACTTGGGTGCTCCATTTCAGCCATAAAAATATATCTGCTGTATCTATATCTTTAGTGGGTTTCTTGCTTCTTGTAAGACCTTGCCTCATTATTTCAATTCCTTGGTATAGTTAATATTTCTTCAGAGCAAACTTTCCTTGTTCAAATTACTGTGTGATTTCTTTGTCGTGATTGGACTCAGAGTGATGTGATCTGTTAGCCATCAGCATTCTAAGAATACTTGATAATTAAACTGATTTCACTTAATGCATGATACCGTATAAAGGACTCATCTCAAGGTTCTTCACATAGAGTTTATTTAGGTTAGAGTGAGTAAGAAAAGTAAAATCACTGGATAGTTTCCACAGGTGACAGAAGTTGGGAAGATAGTACATAAATGACATAATGACAGAATATGTATGATGTGAGAGTCTCTCAAAATTAAAATTACAAATTTAACAATATTTACTTTGGTGGTTCTTTCAAAGACCATTATCCATCTCTGTGATCACAAGTGGGTAATTTCTATTTCTTTCTCAGGTGAATATTTGCTTCTTATTCAATTATGAGTTATATCATTCCTTACCACTAAAGATATTTACAAGGTAGGATTTTGATCAGTTGAAAAGTTATACTTTTAGTATGTTTTCTTTTGAAATTTAAAATCTCAAATCAAATTTAACTCTTCAGTAAAGATTTTACTTAATTTTCACAAATGCTTTTGTTGCATTATTAATTCTAGCTGAATATGCCATAATTCATCATGAAAGGATTACTTGGAGACATAAAAAATACATTAAAAAACAGCTGTTGTATTGCTAAAAGCAATGTATCAGGGCATGCACATGTTAGTATGAAATACAGAACTGATTAATTGTATATTCTTGTTACAATAATTTCTTAACTTTATGCTAATTGCCATCAATTCAAGAGCAGACTGTAGGATTTCCTTTATGCAATAAGCTTTTCAAAATAAACAAGCAATAATTAAGTTATTAACATATTTTGGTTAGGGCAGGTTGGGGAATCTCAGATTCTAAATAATGTATTAGAGTTACAAATACAAGTCAAAAGCCTAAATTTAAACTCTCATGTTAGGTAAATTATATGAAAATAATTGAAATATCAAAGGTTTGGATATTTTAAATATTTTAACATTTGAATCATTTATTTTTAAAGCTTTATTGTATCTACAAATAATTTTATTATATATAATTAATACTCAACTTGCAGATTATGTTCCTTCATGTTATTATTCAAATGCTGTCTCTAATGCTAAAGTAATGATGGTTCATGGGAATCATTGATGAAGCTGGAGGCAATTCTATGAGATACTCTTGACCGCTCTGTATTTATTGGATGATAAATTTTAAAAAAGTGAAGTTGAAGGATACGAAAAAAACTCATGATAACAAAGGAAGGCGGCATAAACTTTCTTACTATAACTCAGTATTTAACAAATACATACTTGTTTCTTACTTTATTCTGGACACCATGCTAGGATTATGTAGTAATAAAAATTAATTGTTCCCAAATTCAAACAAGTTGAAGCCAAACAGATCAAGATATACAAACATATGTGGCCGATAAATTCATTGTAGAGACTTCTCATTAAAATCTTCAATCTGATTGTCAAATTACCTATTGATTAATATCTTTTAGCATTTAATTTAGTTAACTATGTTAGATACTTTCAATACATAATTGCACTTAACGAGCTAAATTACAATGTAAAGACAGATTCATTATCCTTATCTGATTAAAAAAAATACTTATGTTTGTCAAGGTAAATAATAGCGGGAAGATAGCTCACGGGTTAAATTTCAGAGGCAGGAATTATATTTAGTTCTGAATACAGACCAATTGTCCTTTTACCATATTACAACTGCTCAAATTAAAATTTCAACAAATATTTCTTTCATGTTCAATGAACCACCCTTAGATATAACAGGAAAGTAGCTTTAGTTTGTCCTATATAGGCTTCCACTTTAGTAAATAGTCTCTAACTTTTTAAACATAGTCTTCACCCTAATTCTCTTTAAATTTTCCTGCAATTGTTTCTCTTGTTATATAATTGCTAGTAGGGCATGAAATGATATGTAAGATTTTGAGTTTTTCTTTAACATGTGAATCTCCCATCCCATCTCAGGGTATCTATCTACCATCTTTCTATATCTGTCTATCTATCAATCCTATCCTATTGATTTTGTTTCTCTGGATAACCCTGACTGATACAGATTTGGGGTCAAGAGTGTGGTGTTATGGCCAGACACAGTGGCTCATGCCTGTAATCCTAGCACTCTGGGAGGCCGAGGCAGGAGGATCACTAGAGGTCAGGAGTTCAAGATCAGCAAGAGTAGAGAGACCCTGTCTCTACTGAAAAAAAAAAAAAACAAAAAAACAAAAAAAAAGGGAAATAAATTAGCTGGAGAACTAAAAATACATAGAAAAAATGAGCTGGACATGGTGGACCATGTCTATAGTCTCAGCTACTCAGGAGGCTGAGGCAGGAGTATCACTGGAGCCCAGGAGTTTGAGGTTGCTGTGAG